GCGGGTTGGGTTTATTTTGGGCCAACACAAATAAGTAAAAAAGTACATATGGCCAAATTCAGCTCTAACATCCTCAGGTTTATTCATGCTAACCCAAATACCCAAAGTATCATTTTTTTAAAAGAAAAATTTTAATTTAAAATTAATTATTTTTATATTATAAAAATAAAAAAAATACAATTTATATATATGTTTAAAAAATAAAGTGTTATTTGGGCTCGGAAGGGTGTCTCCTTTTCCTTACCCTCCATTTCCCACCTTGTCTCCCTCATCATTGCTAGATCAAAGTTTTTCAACGGTTCAAATTTAATTTTTATAAAATTATCATTATGATTTTACCTAAAATATATAAATAAAATATTATAGTTTTAAATTATCTAGATTAAACTTTAACAATTCAAATTTATCTATACATTTTTATACAAAATAAAAATAAAAATTATATCAAATATAAAATCATAACCATTGAAACTTTGAATGATGATGAGAGGGAAAAGGGGGGAAGTATAGGATAAGGAAAATGAGGTACACTCATCCCGTAGCGAATAGACCTGAACTTGAAAATTTTGTTATTTGATTAAGCTTGGCCCTAACTTTTTTGGATTCATTCAAGTTGGCTCAAATTACCAGCATTATATGCGTATTACATGTGAGTCCTATTGACTATCTAATTTGGCTTATTATTGTAGGATTAAAATATTAATTTGTCCCAGAATTTTGTTTTAAGAGTGTTGGGTACCCTGAAGTTAAGGGTAGTGCAATATTGCCTTTCATTTATTAAAAATGGAGTAATATAATCCTCTCCTTTAAATACCTATTAATTTGACCACGAGTTGACCAAATTAATTATAATGAAGTACGCGAAGAGTAATATTGCACTACCATTGACTTCAAGGTGCTTGGCGCTCTTGCAAAAATATTTATAAGAACAAATTAGCACTTTAACTCTATAATAATAAGCTAGGTTATCATATGGTCAATGGGGCCTTCTTAAGGGAAATTGATGCGTTCTTATGGGAAAGATAAAATTGCTTCAGGAGAAAATAGTTTAAGGGAACATTGTCTCATTTATTAGTACACAATACTTAGTGATCCTCGAAAAATAATTTAGATAGAAACATGTACTTTAACCCTAGTGAGAAATTATAAATATATAATATGATTTTCAACCATCCACCTAAAAAATAAAATAGGATAGTTAATTTCTAAAAGCTATTTTCCTTATGACTCTAATTGTGTTCGGCAGTAGCATATTTGAAAAGTAAGAAATATCATTGAATAAAATAAAGAAAATACAATTACTTTCTAGAACATTGGGTGCGTATCATAATTTAGAGCCTTTCCTCTTTCTTTTGCTTTTTTGGTGAAAGAAAAGAACTGAAATCACAAAAGCATGCTAATCTTTGAGCACTCATTTCTTAACTACCACAACGGCACAGCACAACACCACCATTGCACAGCACACCATTGCGGCATTGCTGTACTAGTACTCTACCCTCTCATTTTTTACTAACTTTATCATTTTCTTTCCTTTCTCTCACTCCTCCTTCCATCTCCTCTCATTCTCTCAGCTTGTTCAGTGAGTGAGTGGGTGCAAAATCACCTTTTAGCAAAGCAATACTCTTCTCCTCTCTATTCAAACTCTCTCCACTCTTCATAACACTGCTAAGTACCTCTCTCTGTAGTATACATCTCTCCTCTCAGCATGGATTATTTTTCAAAGGCTCTTGAATTTGCAAGCTAATTAAGCTTAGTTTGTATTTATACAGAGGTGATCTTGGACTAAAGTTTCATATTCACATTTCCCTATGTGTGCCAGCATTTTATGTAAAAAAATATAAATTCTCATGATTTTTAAGGACCCCTTGCATGGTCAAATACGTTGGTTTTTTTAACACGTTAGAAAATTAAAGCCTTTTCCCTCTCAGCTTATTGTGATCGAATTTCATATAATTTTAGGGCCTAAAAGCCTGCGCAACTTTTTTTTAAATTTTTTAAAAGTTTAAAATTTCTAGCTATAGTAATATACATATATTAAAAAGTACCTTAATTAAATATATAAAATATAATAATAAGCTCTAAATTAAAGTATAATTAAAATACATTCCCTAAAATGTAATATAAGCCATACAAGTCCAAATTGTTGATTATCTAAAGTGCAAATATTTTTAATCCTTATTATCATCAATTTTTACACTACTACAAAATAAAACATTAGACCCTTAAAAAGGTTGGCTATTTGAAGTAGGTGATGCTATTTCAATAATCCCATCAACTTCTTTTTCATTATCTAGAAACAAATTGTGCTATTCTCAAATATTAATTCAAAACTTTGAGTAAATTATATAAATAAATTTATAAAGTCTTAAGGTCTAGCATGAACCTGAGTATATTTTTACAGGGCATATAAGGGCAGGACCTAAAAGCATTTTTATATAAAATTAATTTTTTAAAGCTCGACTTTGGAAAAATACAGAGTCTAAAAGAGTAGTCTATACCTTATTGACAACTCTAGAGACAAGGATTAATAATAAAGCTCTAGCTGTTGATAAGATTTTGTAGGAACAGTGATCAATTTGCTATTTTAAAATCAAATTTGAGTTCCAATGGCTCATGATTTATTGCCACATCTCCGAGAAATACATACATAGCAAAAACAAACACAAATTTCATAAATTGGTCAATAAACGTTTTTATAAATAACCACTGTCATGCAAGGTTTTCAATCTCAAGCATTCTGGTTAATCGCTAATCTCATTGCCATGAGAGAAGGCTTCGTAGGCATATCAATCCGACCAAATGCTTAATTTAAGACAATATATTTAAGAAATCAAGTGTTTTTTTATAAATAAAACAAATATTCACAAGTTAAAGGACATGTTCAAATTTCAAAAAGTACATCGTCTGAATTGCTACTAAACCAACGTTTTATATCACACCAACAAGATTAATAAATGTATTACTAATTAAAAGGGTTGAAACAATACATATAAAAAAAGATGCCTCATGCATCTGAACATCCCTCAAGATCGAAAACACAACACCTAGAGGTTCAAATATATATATGCATATATGTGTGTATCAAAATAGGAATGAGAATGAGAGAGAGATTAAAAGGGCAGAGAGATGGAAAGATAGGATTAGAGGAGCAAGTGAGAGAGAAGGATTAAAAAAGAAAAGAAAAGGCATAAAAAAAAGAGATGGGCATGATCAAGAGCGTGAAGACTGAAGAGACACGAGAACAAAAAGGAGTGGCACACTGTACGTAATATGCTCCAATTTCCAGTGTGACCGTGCTGTTCCATTTGCTTTTTTCTTTTTTTCCCCTTACTTCTTCTCTTAACATCAGTGGCAGACCTAAGCTGTTCGGCTATCATTTTGCCTTTTAACACAGCCTTCACGCATAATTTAAAAACACAAAAAAATTAAAGACTATCCAACCCAAATTTTGCCTTTTGAACATCTTTTTTTAAGGAATACTCCTATACTGATAAAGTGGGCAGTGTTCTCTTTAAATCAGTTTTTTGGAAGAAATTTATCCTTATGTAAAAAACTCATCAATTTCACCATTATTTGCTTATGTATATTATTAGAGCTGGTAATTAAGCAAGGTTGGATTTATTTCAAGCCAGCCAAAAATAAGTAAAAAAGTCCATATAGCCAAACTCACCCCTAATGTTTTCAGGTTTTAGGCTTATTTGGACCAGCCTAAATACTTGAAAAATTAATTTTTTCAAAAAATCATTTTCTTAATTTAAAATTAATTATTTTTATTATTGTCAAAATATAAAATATAGTATGTAGGTATATATATAAACCATTATTTGAGTGGCTAGAATAGATCCGAACTTGAAAATTGTTTATTTATTAAGCCTGGCTCTAACTTTTTTGGGTTTATTTAAGTTGGTTTGAATTGCCAACTCTATGTGTGTTTAGAAATTATAAATATATAAATAAGAGTATTTTCAGCCATCCACATAAAAAATAAAAGAGGATAATTTCTAAAAGCTATTTTCCTGACCCTAATTGTGTCCAGCCATTTTCAGTAGCATATTTCAAAATTAAGAAATGTCACTGAATAAAATAAGTAAAATACAATTACTTTTAGGAACACTACGGGTGCGTATATGAATTCAGAACCTTTTCTTTTTCTTTCTTTTTTTCCGGTAAAAGAAAATGTATAAATCACAAAAGCACGCTATTCTTTGAGCACTCATCTCCTAACCACCACAACAGCATATATAACACCACACCACCATTGCGCAGCACACCATTGCTGGACTAGTGCTACACTCCTCTCCTTGTTAACTAATTCTAGCATTTTCACACTTTTCTCTCACTCTTCCGTTCATCTCTCTTCTCATTTGCTTCGTTATCTACTCTCTGATCTTAGCTTGTTTAGTGAGTGAGCAGGTGCAAAATCATTTTTGAGCAAAGCATTACTCTCTTCTTTCTTCATTTTCTATCCGTTAGAAACTGCTTTCACTGCCAGGTAACAATATTTTTTCTCACGCTTTGATTCATGGAAATGAGCATCTTTAGCCATTGAATCTGTACAGTGAATTGCTCGTCCTGGGGAGTAACTGATCTGAACATTCTGTTGATCATATATCACCTCACGCACTTACAAAAGAATTACAAAAGAATTGCTTGGAGAGGATGGTCAATCGCTGCGTAACAGTAGACCAATAGCATTAAGTGAATCTGCGAGGATACAAACCTTGGTGAAGCCCACGTTATGAAACGGAGAGAGCAGAAACGGAAGACGCATAATGGAGATGAAACGGAAAGAGCAAAAACAGGAGACGCATAATCTAGGTTGCACAGATACGGGTACGAGTATCGGATACGATACGGCATGATACGGGGATACGGCAAATTTTCAAAATTTTAGGATACGGGTACGGCAATATATAATTTTTTTTTATATAAATGTAAGTAACATCTCAACTATCAAAATGCATAGCAATCCAAAAAAATACAAAATGTTATCAAATACATCACATTTCATCATCCTCATTTTCCATTACATTACTAGGCTCTCCTATAATTTCTTGCTCTAAAATGGGTTCATCAAATGACAAGCTTGCCATCTCAAGGCTATTGACAGCATCAAATGGCTCTATAATGTCTCCACCAATATCCCACATTCTACTTTGCCCAATGCGATACTTTTCACTCTTCCTTGACAAGAGACGAAGATTAGTATGCACAAAAACTAAGTCTTCAGCTCTTTTAGGAGTGATCTTGTTTCTCTTCAATGAGTGGATAAAGGAGTAAGTGCTCCAATTTCTTTCACAAGAGGAAGAGCACGGTTGGCCTAGAAGTTTCAATGCAAGCCTCTGAAGAATAGGGGTGAAAGAACCATAATTTAACCACCACTCTTTAGGTTCTAAATTCCACCTATCTTGCAAACAATCAAATGATGAATAGAAGTCTAAACTTCCAACAAATTTTGGGAACTCTTGGAAGACCGCCTTTCTCTCCTCAGGATCAGTAAAGTACCTATGAAGGCACTTTACTCTCTCAGATGATATTTCATTATCTAAATGAGGTGGAATTCTATTGGGAGCACCTTCAAGCCATTGGGGTGTATAATACCTATAACATTTGCAAACAAAAAGTATTAAGAACAAAACTAAATAATTCATGAATGATAAATATTGTAATAGTAATATTACTAACCTAGGATTTAATGAATGTGCAAGACAATGAAGGGGAGTGCAACTTTTTGTCCATCGATCAATAATGATCCTATAAACAACATCAAAGAAAGCTGAATACTCAGAAAGCTCCTTATTCTCATGCTTGTAGATGGACTCCTTCACTCGTTCTATCATTGAATCCCACATTTCATAAATTAAATGAAGTATGGGCTTATTTATGTCAGCCATCCGAAGCATGTCATAAATCGGTCCAGTGAAAGAAAGTATATAATCCACCTTATCCCACCAAGAGTTATTAAGGATTAAATTTTTCACTGTGGCTACCTTTCTAACATCATCTTCCTTATAAGCATTCCATGCTTCACTTATCACCATTGTACGAAGTGAAGTTTTAATGAGCTTGAGTCTTTTGAGCAAACAATGGTAGATGCAAAGCGAGTGTCAGCTATAGCAAGTAATTTTAATGGCACAAATTCATTAAAAATTGCCAATCGCATAGAATGACACATGATAAATGTTCTAATAAAAATAGCATCATCCTTAACCTCCTCTATCCAATGACACTCAACATACACAATCTCATTTGCCTCTGTGTTCTTTGCTGCACATATATTCTTTAATGCAAGATTAAGCGTATGCACAACACATGGCGTCCAGAAAATAGTGGGATACTCAGCCTCTATAAGCCTACTTGCTGATTTGCAAACAGATGCATTGTCAGTGATTATTTGAACCACATTCTGAGGCTTGACCTCTTCAATCACTTGACGCATCAAGTCAGCCATATAATGTCTGTCTTTATATTCTTTGGATCCATCAACTGCCCTCAAAAACATGGGATCCCCATCAGACACAGCCATAAAATTAATCAGAGGCCTCCTTTGAGCATCTGTCCAACCATCTGTGACTATGCTCACTCCTTTCAATCTCCAAGTTCCTTTAATTGGTTCAAGTAACTTCTCTGTGTGAGCTCTTTCTCTTTGCAACAATGGACCCCTTAATGCATTATAACCAGGAGGTTTGTATCCAGGAATGATGTTGTTGGCAGCATATTGATATGAACTAATAAAATATGGATTGCGTGCCAAATGAAAACCAGGAGGTTGAAGACGCTAACGTCATCTACCACATCAGCTATCTGACCGGTCAACGACAAGTCAGCCCAGTAGTTTTCTGCCACGTGTCATAGTCATCACGTCACTGTACCCAGTCAGCCAATTTTTCATAAATTACATTTTTGCCCTAAATCTTTCGGTAATTTCAAATTTGACCTTGATTTTTATGAAATTTCATATTGACCCCCAAATTTTCCGAAATTACATTTTAAACCCTAAACTTTCCTAAAATTACACTTTTGCCCCTTTATTTTACCTGAATTTCATTTTTAACCCCTATATTTTCCATAAATTTCAATTTGACCCCATAATTCTTTCAGAATCTCTTTTTTTCCCCTAGACTGTCCAAAATTCCCATTTTACCCCCTAACCTTTCAAAAAAAAATCTCACTTACCCTATATCCTTCAAAGTTTCCATCTGCACCCCAATCTTTCCCATATCTCTAGCCTTGACACTTATCCAAAATGCCTCCAAGACGTAGACATGTGCACGAGGTTGAGATGGAAGAGATGAGAAGTAGCATACGAGAATTAGAAGCCACTGTGGAATTGCAGCAAACTCTGTTAAACAACAACAGAGAAAACTTAGAGGGAGATTCGGGAAGCAATAGTTCGTCATCTACCGACAACCGCCGCCGCCCACGACAATAACAATTCCGCCCTAATGACATCAAGGTTGACATTCCTGAATTCGAGGGAAGGCTCCAGCCAGATCAGTTTGGAGATTGGCTGCAAACTGTTGAACGAGTATTTGAATACAAGGAGATTCCAGATACGCAGAAAGTCAAAATTGTCGCCCTCAAACTCAAGAAACATGCTTCTATTTGGTGGGAAAACCTCAGACGGAAGCGAGAACGTGAGGGAAAGCACAAGATTGAGACCTGGGAGAAAATGAAATGCCAGCTCACTAAGAAATTTTTACCAGATCATTACCACCAGGATAATTTTATCCAGTTGCAAAATCTTCGACAGAGATCTTTATCTGTAGAAGAATATACTAGAGAGTTTGAACAACTCATGATGAAGTGTGATATTCAGGAGAAGGAGGAGCAAATAATAGCCCGGTACCTTGCAGGCTTAAACACAGATATCAGTCGTTCAGTCCAGCTTCAACAATATTGGACCTTAGATGATGTCATCCGTCTAGCCATGCGTGTTGAGAAGCAGATGCCCAAGAGATCCACTTTCCAGCCTTCGTCCTCTAGGGGTTATTCAGAAGGCCGTAAGGTAGAATTTCAGCAGACCAACTCCTCAAGCAAGCCACAACCTACTGCTATGCGCAAACCACCATCCAATGCTGCCAAGGAAACTGGTTCTAAAGAAATCAAATGCTTTAAATGCCAAGGATTTGGCCACATTACTACAGACTGTCCTACTCGAAGGGTTGTCACCATTAGGGAAGGATCAGGGTATGAAGCGATTGAAGAAGATGAGGAAGACGCTGAGTTCTACGGCACTGATCCCGTATATGACGAGAAGGTCACACCTGCTGATCAAGGAGAAGCATTGGTGCTTAGACGAAGTCTGCATACAACAGTAGTCAAAGAAGAACCTTGGCTACGACGCAACATTTTTCACACTCGTTGCACGGCCCAAGGAAAAGTTTGTAATGTCATCATTGACAGCGGAAGCTGTGAAAATGTAGTATCTGACTACATGGTGGAGAAATTGAAGTTGCCAACATAAGATCATCCACAACCTTATAAGCTTCACTGGCTCAACAAAGGGAATGAGGTAAAAGTTTTTAAACAATGCCTTGTGACCTTTTCTACTGGGAATCGATATTGTGATGAAGTTTTATGTGATGTTGTTCCCATGGATGCATGCCACCTTTTCTTAAGGAGGCCATGGCAATATGACCGCCATCCTATGCACAACGGGAGAGCGAACACTTATTCTTTTACGAAAGATGGTGTCAAGTTCACACTAGTGCCTCTACCACCCAGTGAGATTAGCCAATCTTCAAGGAAATCTAGTGTCTCTAAGCCGTTAGTGTCTTTGTTGACTAAGGAGGAATTCAAGGTGTCAAAATCTGAAGCCCAAATGATGAGCTTTATTCTGGTGCTTGAGGTGAACGACGAGATGGCCAATCCACCTGGAGTCATTCCGTTATTGTCAGAATTTCCAGATGTAATATCCGATGAGATACCACCAGGGTTGCCTCCAATGCGAGACATACAGCATGCCATTGACTTCATTCCAGGAGTAGTCATTCCTAATAAGCTTGCTTATAGGATGAGTCCCCAGGAACATGCCGAAGTATAACGGCAAGTTGAAGAGTTGTTGAAGAAAGGGTTAGTTAGAGAAAGTATCAGCCCTTATGCTGTACCTGTTCTTTTAGTACCTAAGAAGGATGGAAGTTGGAAAATGTGCATTGACTGTCGAGCCGTCAACAAGATCACTATTAAGTATCGGTTTTTGATACCTCGGCTTGATGATATGCTGGACCAGTTGCATGGTGCCACTACTTTCTCCAAAATTGACCTTCGTAGTGGGTACCATCAAATCAAAATTCGGCCAGGAGATGAGTGGAAGACCACTTTCAAGACCATAGATGGCTTATACGAGTGGAATGTGATGCCTTTTGGGTTAACAAATGCCCCTAGCACATTTATGCGCCTGATGAATCAGGTATTGAGACCCTTCATTGGTAAATTTGTTGTTGTGTACTTTGACGATATTCTTATTTACAGTAAGAATCAAGAGGAGCATTTAGATCACTTGCGGCAAGTTTTGCAAGCCTTGCGTGAGCAGAAGCTTTATGCAAATCTCAAGAAGTGCACCTTCCTCACCAACGAAGTTGTGTTCTTGGGATACATCATTACCGCAGAGGGTGTTCGTGTTGATCCAAGTAAAGTTGCGGCCATTGACAGCTGGCCAATTCCAAAATCTATCCAGGAGATTTGAAGCTTCCACGGATTAGCTTCTTTCTACATGAGGTTCATCCGTAATTTTAGTTCAATTGCTGCACCACTTACAGATTGCACCAAAGGAGAGAAGTTTCAGCGGACAGAGCAAGCTCAGAAAAGCTTTGAGGAGCTTAAGAAGAAGTTGACCGAAGCTCCAGTCCTAGTTCTTCCTAACTTTGACCAAGTGTTTGAAGTTAGCTGTGATGCTTCTAACACCGGTATTAGTGCTGTCTTAAGCCAGGAGGGCCATCCCATTACCTTTTTTAGTGAGAAGCTCAATGATGCCAAGCTCAGATATTCTACTTATGACAAAGAATTCTATGCCATTGTCCGAGCTCTTCAATATTGGAGTCATTATCTCCTGAATAAAGAGTTCATACTTTTTTCTGATCATGAGGCTCTCAAGTATTTGAATTCCCAACAGAAGATCAGCCGCAGACATGCTCGTTGGAGTGAACTCTTACAATCTTATCCATTCCTTATCAAACATAAGGCTAGAACTCTGAACTCCGTAGCTGATGCCCTTAGTTATCGCCATGTGCTACTTACAACACTACAAACTAAGGTTGTTGGATTTGACCTTGTCAAAGAGTTGTATCAGGATGATCTTGATTTTTGAGGAGTGTGGGAAGCAACTGTAAATCAACCTTTCCACCAGTTCTACAGACATGATGGGTTTTTATTTTGAGGTAAAACCCTCTATATTCCACAGGGTTCCTTGAGAGAAGCCATAATTTGGGAAGCACATGACGGTGGATTAGCAGGACATTTTGGACGGGATAAAACAGTTGACCTGGTGAAGGAGAACTTTTACTGGCCTCGACTTGAACTGGATGTCAACAGGCATATACAAAGATGCAGGATTTATCACTTGGCTAAATCCAAGGGTCAGAATACCGGACTATACATGCCTCTGCCAATTCCAGAAGCACCTTGGGAAGATATAACTATGGATTTTGTTCTGGGTTTACCACGGACTCAGAGGCAAAAAGATTCTATCATGGTAGTTGTGGATCGTTTCTCAAAAATGGCCCATTTCGTTCCATGCCAGAAGACTAATGATGCTGTTCAAGTAGCAGACTTATACTTTAAGGAGATTGTGCGTCTTCATGGCATTCCCAAGACTATCACTTCTGACCGTGATGTGAAGTTTTTCAGCCACTTTTGGCAGATACTATGGAAGAAGATGGGAACTAAGCTCCAGTTTAGCAGCGCTAGTCATCCCCAGACAGACGGCCAAACTGAAGCAATAAACAGGATTCTTGGTAATCTTCTTCGTAGTTTCGTGGGGAAGAATTTGAAGCAGTGGGATCTCATTCTTGCTCAAGTTGAGTTTGCTTATAATAACTCTGTTAACCAAGCAACTGGGAAGTGTCCGTTTGAAGTTGTTTATGGCACTCATCCCCTTAGTCCACTAGACTTGACCCCTTCACTTGATAAGCAGCAATATAGTTTTGATGCTGACCAAAGGGCTAAGGAAATCAAGAAGTTACATGAACAAGTTCGTGCCTGAATACAAAAGCAGAACTTGAGATACAAGACTCAACGTGACAAGCATCGAAAGTATCAAACTTTTAACGTGGGCAATTTGGTTTAGATACATTTATGAAAGGAATGATTTCCTAAACAACCAAATGCTAAGCTGTCCCCGAGAGCTGATGGTCCGTTCAAGATAGTGCAAAAGATCAACAACAATGCTTACAAGGTGGAATTACTTGGTTCTTATGATGTATCTGCCACCTTCAATGTCGCTAATCTATCTCCGTATGTTGATGAAGATGATGAATTTAACTCGAGGGCGAGTTCTGCCCAACCTGAGGAGGATGAAACGGAGAGAGCAGAAACGGGAGACGCATAATGGAGCACAATAAACTCTTTGTAACCTCCCCTTAATTTCTATAACCTCCCTTTTAATTTGTAAGCTTTAGTTTTTCATGATTTCAGAACTATAAATAGGGCCCTTTGGTTGTGTAAGGAGCTCAGACTTGAAAAGAATAAAATTACTTGTTTTTCATTTGGTTTCTGTGCCACGTTTTGCAGACCTCCATCCCTGTTTTGATAGCCATTACTTCTGCTACAGCTCACTGCTAAGTACCAATATTTTTTCTCACACTATGGATTTTCAGAGGCTCCTGAGCTCAAATGATCGGGTATATATTATGCATGATTTTAGCTTATCTTATACCGTTTATACTTCGCATTTCCTTGAGCCTTTCTGCTTATAAAATATAGACCAGGACTGCTATTTGTTTCATACCAGAGAAATAAAAAAAAGAAAAAGAAAAAAAAAAGCACAGTCGAACGCGACTGCAACATCCAAACGTCGGAAACTTTTTGGCCATTCCCTAGAGCTCCTTTTCTTTGTTTGACACTATCCAGCAGATGCTCCTCAGCTCTTTCAAAAATGGCGGAGGGCGCAGCCGATGAGGTCACCCACCCCGCCTCTACATTGGGCTGACCAATTTATGGCCGCTTGCTTGTGGTCGGCTCCGACTCTGTTAAACCCAATGCCTTTCGGGCACATTTCGGCATATATCTTTCTTTTATGAAAATATCATTTCCTCTAAAAATTGTGAACGCTGTTTACCTGTCCATTCACAAGCATTGACGATTTTAGTGCTTTTTCCCCCCCTCCAAAGTTCTTGAAAGATGCGCCATTACATGACATGAAGGATTAGATACTGTAGATGTGCAGTATTTTGAGTTTGTTTTTCTGATTCATTGATTAAAAAAAATGTATTTACTTAATATGCATAAGATATCGTCGCTATGAAAATTAAATTAAAGACTATCCATAATTTGAAGCTGTTCAACACCTGGGTTCTTGTTATTTGTTATTTGTATTATTTTGAGAGAAGCAATATCTCAATTATCATGTAATAGAATCCCTCTTATCTAATATGGGTTAGGCGCATTATATTGAAGTAAAATATGAAGATCTGATAGCTTCAAAATATCATAAAATAGGCTGTTCCTATTATTGGTTGTCTTTATGTACAATTCTCAAGCTTTTAAACTTGCCACCACATTCTTTTGTTTTTTTTTATTTTATCTTTCTGATAACTTATATTTATATCTTTTTGAATCAGAATAACTCAACTGATGTGCCCCAAGATGATGTCCATGAGTCATTTTTCAATTGGGAAAATGTCTCAAACATTGTCCTTTCTCCCACTGCTTATCGGTAAAATCTAACTAACCCTTTAAATTAAATAATACTAGTCAATTCAATTGAATAATAGCCTGTTGATTTTGTTTGGAAACTAAAGTGAGAATGATAAATGTGCAGGTTTTGGGAGGGTCTGAATATGTTACTGATAGCATATTCTAGATAGGCATCATTTTTTGATGTTGGATTTCTGAGAAACTCTAGCCATATGCTCTATTGGTTAGATGTTTTTGCTGCAATCATTCTTATGATAGACATTGCCCTCCCTATTTACTATGCTGCATATCGTACAAGGTTTGTTAATTTTCAAATTAAATTATCTATGCTTAAGAATCTAAAAGTGGCATAAACTATTTATTAACATGTGTAATTAATTTTAATAACAGTGTAGATATAAAGAATATTACATTCTCAACATACTTGAGAAGAGAACCCGTAGAATTGGATTTATAAAATTATGATATTTAATTTTATATTTTATTTATAAATATTATTTTTATTTTACAATTTTTATTCACAGTTTGATTTAGTAGAATATAGTTTTATTTAGTAATTAGTTTTAACACTTTGCATTAAAAAATCATTGCATTTCCAACCTAATTATTTTGCAAATAGAACAAGTGAAAGTTGATTTATACAAATATGAAATTTAGTTTAAATTTTAAAGATTTTATTTATAAACATGTTTATTATTTTACTATTTTTCTTGATTAGTGATGGTGTAATTTAATATTGCATATTAAAATATATAAATAATATTTTTTAATTATTCCTAGTTTGGTTCATTTCATAATTAACTTGTAGGTTAAGATAATGGTGATGGTTAAGAAAAATGAAAGTGATGATAATAGAACATTTAATTATCTCTGTTAAAATTTTAATTAAATTAGGCTTAGTTATGTTTTATGACTTAAGTGAATTTAATTTATATTATATTGATTTGAATTAATTTATTGATTTTTATTTTAGGTCAATAATATGTAGTATGATAATTTTTAAATGTATTTTCTTTATAAAGTAAAATCACTTATGATTTTGTGTTATGAGTTTAGGTCTCCATTATGAGTTTAATTAAACTTGAGTTTGATAACCTTAGGCAAATCAAAAAATTTTAAAAAAATTAATAATATCATAAATATAAAAATCAAGTGTCTTTTATGATTTTATTTTTTTTTTGACTAAAACAAAGTCAATTTTATCAATAACGAAAGAAGAACTACACATATCAATGGCTGAAATTAAAGAAAAAAACTAAAATAACCTAAAGAATACAAGCCAATACACAAAACTCACCAGAGCTGGAAAACCTACCATGCAACCCACAAACAAAATGAAACAAAACAAGAAACAGAAAAAATAATAATAATAATCCACAAGCCATTAGCCAATGGGGGAGGGTTATCTCTTTTCCCTTCCCATCCTCTTCTCCTCCTGTTCTTAATTTCTAATCATTTCGATGATCTAGATTTGATCTCTTTCTAAATATTTTTTTATTTTACTTTTACTATATTTTTTTCATTGTTCCTATTAAATTTTAGCAGTTTGAATTTTATTATTTATATTTTTTATAATTTAATATTTTAACAATGATTTTATAGAAAATCAAATTTGAACAATCTAAATCTTGATTTAATGGCTAGAAAGGGAAAAGAAGGAAAAATGATGGGAAGGAAGAGGAGAGAATTCATTCCTTTTGCGAATACCTGAAATCTGCCAATCATGACATAGTGTAGAAAATCTTGACCCTTCCCTTCAGCATCTCTAACCAAAATCCTAGCTAGAGGTGGGTGTTTGCAAGGATGTAATCAAACTTTAAATCTAGAAGGCCAAGATTTTTAATTAAGTAAATAAATATTATTAATTTAAGGAATTTAACACTAAATAATAATTAAAAAAGAAATTTTTAAATATTTTAACTTATATATGCAATATTTTTCTTTATCAAAATTAGGTGGCTTTTTTCAATCATCAACAAATTGAGTTATATTTGAACATTGCGAAGCCCGCAACATCTCATTTATTCTAACTCCTTTAAACAAAAAGCACTCATGCCAAAATTGATAGTGTTCTTGAGCGAAATTTGAAATAGATTTTCTGCAGGATATGCCACCAATAAGGATCATTTTTAACCTTAATCATCTTCACATATCAAAGACCATAAGCTGAGAAATGCTATTTTAATTTTTTTTCAAAAACTGATGCCTTTTCCATAATCTTTCATCAATTTACAAAAATCATAACTGATTCTATAAAAATCATAATGCGGTGATTTATCCCTCTAAATCAAGTTTAGAAAGTCCTCTTCAAGGGAAAAATAATCCCAGAGTTCAAATGGTAACCAATGTTTATTGAGGAATTTTTGTTCCTCAGTTATTCAGTTACTTTCAAGAATTTTTCCAAATTTATGACCTTCTCTTGCAAAAATCATATCTTATGATATACAATTTTGAAATTAATGATTCAAGCAATAATCGTCAACTCATCAAAATCAATAAACTTAGATGATGAATTTATAAAAAATAAAACATCAACTATAAACATACATTGGTCAAGATGTCATACAAGCAAATTAACATCTCAATAAATCATATATTTTTTACAATTCACGGTGTTAACATTCCGTAACATTAAGTGTCAGCCAAACAATGCTATCACAAGAATTAGAGAAATGCTACCTTGGATCAAAATACTTTCTTGTCCCAACTTCTCTTGAAAATGAATTTCTTTGGACCTTCTGCGAATATCATGCTATATCATTTTCTACAATCCAAAATAATTAAATTCATAATTTATACATATTATATTAGATTACTCCCAACTTATTATATGACATCAGCAAAGTGGAAAAGCTTCCAACAATGGTTTCATTCCTAGCTAGTCACGGTCAAAGAATCTATCCACCCTAAGCATGTTTTCCCCCTCTTCTTCTCTTAATTTATAGAGCAAATTAAACAGTGACCCCCGTTATCAACAAATATGAAAAAACTGAAATACTACAATAATTCTTTTATTCCTATCGTGAATGGATATCGGTTTTGGTACTTTTCAATCATTATGTCTACCTCAAAATGCTCATTTATAAGCTTGAAAAATTTGAACAGTACTTTCAACAATACATTTCATTTCTTTTGAACCCAAGAGTCCATCCAAAAACTCATACGTTTATGCTTATCTCACTCCAAGCATTCCAAAAGCCTTAAGTTTTAAGACTTTATTTCTCTATATAAGCTCCTCTTCCAAACTTGGAATCCTTAAAAACCACTTTAATCAAATGAAAACTTGATTAGTTGACTTAGGAATATGTAGTTGCATGTGGAGTTTGGGTTGGAATAATTGGTGTTTGGCTGGGTTAAACACGTACACACTCTCTCTAAACTCTTACCATAGTCATGGTAGTTGAGAAACACACGTTCTCACGCTGTTGACCGAAATAATGGTGAAGAAAGAGTGAATTGTTGAATTAATGAGGGAGAATTACATCTAACCCACCCTCAAGGAAATTAATCACAGATAAGGACCAATGCAAAATGGATTGTTACTAAAATGAGAACATGACTTGTTTTTTTCTCGAATGGGACTTATTGTTAGTCCTTATTTATGATTAATTTTTTTGATGGGAGCTGGATGCAATCCTCCCAATTAATAATCTACACATGCATACTTCTCTCCATGTGCTCATTAGACTCCCA